TGGTCGATGATGAAACAATACTGGGTTGAGGTATGAAAACATATTTAAAACATTGTCAAAAAACTGTGTAAAGCCATGTCCTCTCTAGGGTGGTCTGGGGTTTGACGAACTCAGATCCAAACCTGAGAAAATGTACACAACTTTTGCAGCCATGGTTAGTGGAGGCTGGACCATGCATCTTCAAGTACTTAAGTGCATAGTGCTAGTGTGTGTGTGTAGTAGGTTAGAGAGAGAGAGAGTGTGTGTGTGTGTGTGGGAGGTTAGAGTGTGTGTGTGTGTGGTAGGTTAGAGAAAGTGTGTGTGTGTGTGTGGTAGGTTAGAGAAAGTGTTTGAGGTAGGTTAGAGAGAGAGAGTGCGTGTGGGAGGTTGGAGAAAGAGTGTGTGTATGGGAGATTTGAGAGAGAGTGTGTGTATATGTGTGTGTGTAGTAGGTTAGAGAGATAGTGGGTGTGTGGTAGGTTAGAGAGTGTGTTCGGGCCTTTTGTAATTTACATACTATGGTTGCAATTGTGTGTGTGTGTGTGTGTGTGTTATAAGTGTATGTGTGTGTGATTGTTATAGGTGTGCGTGGGTAGTAAGTAATGGCAAAATGAATGTATGGATTCGCCTTGTTATGAAGTTGACGATAGTTTGTGTATTTGTACAAGAATCGACACTATGTACTGCAAAAAAAAACCATCAAACTGTAAAAATACATTGGAGAAAGTCTCAGTGGAGCTGGGGAAGGGCGAGAAGTAGAAACGCAATTTCGCACGTGAAGCCTGGTGCGAACTTTGCGCGTAAACAAGATCTTCCAGATGTTGACAAGTAACAGCTTCGTCAACGGACTCAGAATGTGGGTCGCAAAAAACACCTACCTTGGTTTTGGACGTTGACAAAGATTGCACAGACAAGGTAAAGGCGAGAAACAGGAAAATGGCCGACCAAGGAGGTGAGCCATAGTGTCATAGATTGGGGAGAATGTTGGTGTGAAAGACCGAAGGGAAGGGAGGCTGGTGTGAAATCAAACAGAACCGCAAAAAATACACAGCGAGACTGGCATACGCACACTTTTTGAGATTTGTATCGATGGTGATATTTTAGCAGGCCACGAATTAGCTTAGTAAATGCTAGCGGATGGAGCTATTGACAGAACTAGTTTGACTTTAAATTTGGATTAGCCCTCTTAGCTAATGAAGTGATAATTCATGTATAATCATGGTTAATTAGCTCTTAATTGATACGTATTAAGAACTTATATGTCCTTTTTCTACATGGCCTTATTCAACATCTAAATAATCACTAATCGACCCTTTTTCCCGTGTGGGGTTTAGGGTTATTTATTTATTGTGGGACTGATAATGCATCTGGATTTGGGTATCTTGAACTAAAAGGTGCCAATGAGACAAGAGTACCATGTTTAATTTGATTGAAATTAAGTCAATGGGATGATGATACATATATCCCATCTCGATTTTATACTTTTAATTTGATTTGCTTCTTTATTATGCTAAAGCTAGAGATTTTATACTAGCTTCTTTATTATGCTAAAGCTAGAGATTTTATACTAGCTTCTTTATTATGCTAAAGCTAGAGATTTTATACTAGCTTCTTTATTATGCTAAAGCTAGAGATTTTATACTAGCTTCTTTATTATGCTAAAGCTAGAGATTTTATACTAGCTTCTTTATTATGCTAAAGCTAGAGATTTTATACTAGCTTCTTTATTATGCTAAAGCTAGAGATTTTATACTAGCTTCTTTATTATGCTAAAGGTAGAGATTTTACATTTGCTTCTTTATCATGCTAAAGCTAGAGATTTTATACTAAGGTTAGTTATTTCTTGTATCTTGGGTCATTAAGAAAAGTTGCATCTGTTAAATGAACAAAGACAAACAGTAATTACATTTTGAAAGACGACAAATGAATCAAATAAACTAAGAAATTGCAACTATTAGAAGCTGAGACAACTGGAAACACCTCCCATTGTCAAAACAGCTTTTAATCATCCTTGAGAAAACTGCAAAAAATATGCACAGGGTGAATAGAATTTAGACTTGTGTGGCACCGTTGGTAATCCAATTTGAAATCTGACTTTCTTCAGATGTGTTTTGCGTATGCCAGCCAATCACAGTAACCCAACACTGCATAATGAAAGCAGAGAGCGCGAGGAGCAGACTTAACAAGCATCCGCCACCGTCTTACACTGGATCTTACAGAAAATAACTAATCAATTTTGGCTTTAATCAGCGTGCTCCAGACTCCATTCTCCAAATCAATTCGTCGCAAGCACAAACAAGGACTTTCCCGAATCAGAAAGTGTCACAGTGATAGATTTCGCGTTGGATTCAGCTCCAACTAGCGTCTTTATTCTTCAACATTGATCCGGTTTCTTGTAAAGTCCACTCCTCTGCTTTTTTTCCCCAATATCAGCCACGTATCTCCAAAAACACACACATCGGCCTCCGCAACCTGCCTCCTGTCATCTCCAAAACATGTTCGCTAACATTCCCCAAAGGCTTCGCGGCATTTGCAAGACTCAGCACCCTCTCCGAGCTACTTTACTTTCAGTTTCCTCTCTCTCCATCCCTCTCTCTCTTTCTCTCTATTCTCGCATCTCAAAAGAACCAGGGATCTCTCTCTCTCGCTCTCTTGCTTATCTCGGCATGCCTGTCACGCCGACGGTGCAGTTATTATCGCGCAAGTCTTCCTGCAGCCGAAAGAACACCTTGCTAATCAGGCCCTGTACTGTCAAGCCCAAGTCATCTCCCATCTAGCTAACATGGCAGTCAACATAACAAGGCCAACAGTTGCAATTTTTATTCATCACATAGACGCTATATAGGCCGGTGTTAAGGGAGGGAGAAGGAAACTGGATCTAGCTCTTGGCAAAGAGGTAACAAACAATACTCAGACTTATGCAAACAGCTGTTAGACCCGACAAGGCCTCGGTTAAAAAGACAACGTGGGGAGATTTCTAACGATGGATGCTTCCTGTTTGGCATACAGATCATAGAGGAAGTAGTGGAGACAAACGTGACATTAGGCTGTATTTTTCTGCAAGTTCATGATAGTTTAAATTAGGGTCTGGACTTGATTGAAAATATATATCAAATTAATCGGGCTTTGTAATGAATTAAAGGTATATACAGGCTTTGTATTGAATTAAAGGTACAGTACGTAATCATCAAGGGCTATTGGTCCTCCCAATTGTATTTATATGCAAACACAACTCTTCAACACTTCTATACGTTTTAATAACAACATATCAAAAGATTATTCTTTCAAGTTCACTGTGGTTTGTTGTTGTCCTAAGTATACTTGGTGCTGCGGTATAACCGGCCCACCAAAACTCATCCCACGAGTTCCATGGTGCAAAATGCGCCAAAATGCATGGTGGAAACAATTATACGTTATTTTTGTGTTTCAATAAAATAATCTTGAATAACATGTTAAAGTCCAAACTCTGATTTAAATGCTTTCAAAATTAAGGGGAACATTTTCAAAAAAAACTTTGATTAGTTATGGCATTCTCTAAACGTCAGGGTATTCCAATGTGATGTTCATGTTTATTATTTTGATTTAAAATTGAACTTGACTTAAAGCACAAGTGACATTGAAGGTATATAGTAGGATTTTCTACTTCCGGGTGGATCATCAAGACTATTGGTCCTCCCAATTGTCAATCATTCTGGTGATACGTGCTTGTCAAATAAGACCAGAGAGTTTAGTTAAAAAGTTGGTGGGGGCGGTTCTTCTCTAAAATTTGTGAATATTCTCCTATGTACCTCTAAAACAATTGTTAGCATAGCGATTCCTACTGGTCCTGCCATATTAGCAGCTCTTTCATTATCAAAACTGTTGAATGTGAAGCCACAAAGAAGCGGTGGAATAAATAATAAGTGCAATATGTTACATCGTAAGCTGCACTGTAGATAGAGTCACTTCCCATTTTTCCGTCATCTGAAGTTTAAACACGCTAATCCACGGTCTCAACAACTATAAAAATATATGCTAACGTATTCCAAAACTCGCAAACACACGTAGCGGCACTAACTTTATCCCTGTTTGTAGCGATAGCACAAAGCCTTACATCTTCACTTTCAACACAAACTATTTTTTCATACACTCTTATGCGCTTCCCTTTGATGCCAGCCGCGCAGCAGGTGTGCGTATGGCTTAAATCTGCGCCCCTCCATTCCCAGCGTGAGCTTGCGTGGCCGCAGGAATCTATAGCCCACAATCCTATGCTACAGCTACAGTTTTGTCGCACAATCCGAGGCGAGGGAGCGCTTGTGTGCCGATGACGGACAATGGAGCTAAAGGCCTGCGACAGGGACTCGGAAATATCTTGGTATTCCGGGACAAAGAAAAATATTCAAATGTTGTTGATTTGTTTGACTTTGTGATTAAGAGACATAATCAGGTTATTTTTAGGAACAGAGAATTTGATTAGGGTTGGAGATATAAGTAATTTATTGGGATAAGCATGAGAGAGAAGGAAAGAGTATGTTCTAAAGCAAAACGTAATATTTAGAAAAATCACATTGGAATACACATGCTATTTTATTTATTATGTTTTTGTTAAGTTGAAGTTGCAGTCAAGATTTAACAACGATTCGTCAACTTTTCATCTCTTGTAAAATAAAACATTCACAACAACTTCCTCCACTTTTGTATGATCTCAACAACTAGAGGTTAGTGACGTTATTATGGTAAATCTTACCACAACACACATGCTAACAGCGCTTTTTTCTTAGCAAGAAAGTGGGTAGCACAAGAACCGAGCAGAAGGCACATTAATGTTAATAGAAAAACACTTATCAACATCAAGATTAAATTTGACACTTAAAGCCAAAGAGGACAGAAATGCCCCTCTCTATGACCAAGATTTGTTTTACTAGTTGTAACTTTCCAACTGTACTTAACCAAACACCGGCTAGCTTCTCACAATCACCTCCTAACGTCCAATACCAGATAGCGTCCTCGAAACACGTACAAAGGCCATTCACTCCGCAGATTCACACTATCGGAACTGTACTCGAGTACTCACGGTCGTTGCAGAAGGATCCCCCATAGGACGTCATGGTGCAGTCGCAGGTGAAGCCCTCCCACTGTTGGAGACATACCCCCTGATGGTAGCAGGACTCCTCCGTACAGGTGGTACTCGGTCCTGGGGAGAGATTGGAAACCAGAAAGTATTGTAAGTATAGATGTACACAGGAATATTTTACATGTTTTATTAATGAGCAAAGCGACATATATAATAAAGGTACATTTGTCGTGCGAACGCTACAGCGACGTCAGCACTTGGTCAGTCCACTCCTTGCTGTAGACTTAAAGGTTCCTTATTGCACTCTTTTTCACAATCCATCCTATGCACAATGCACACATGTTTTTAGTGGTATGGGAAACCGGAGTACCCGGAGGAAACCTACGCAGACACGGGGAGAACATGCAAACTCCACTCAGAAAGGCCTTGTTCCGACCAGGATTCGCACCCAGAACCTTCTTGCTGAGAGGCGAGAGTGCTATCCACTCAGCCACCGTGTGAAGCCGCCTCCCCACACCCGAACGGTGACGTAGCCTCAGGTCGCGAGTTGTTTATCTCCAAAGTAAACTCTTCCATTCGCCGGTACATAATGCTAGTAATTTCAGACCTGAGAATAAACTTTTCCCAACAATAACAATCTGTCACATCGAGCCCTATGTCCTCGATCCACAATAAGACCCTAATTATTTAATTTACAGAAGCATACGATGAGTTAGCATCACTGTACTTACAGATCGGGGAATAACACAGGTTTCTAGATAAGCTCTTGAGTAAGCCCAGATCAGATGTTCTTAATACTTTTATTCGCTGGCAAAGGCAGAAAAACAGTATAGCTCCATGTGAAGAACACGGACCGTACCATAAACATAAGCTGGACTCGGGAGATGGACTCGGGAGCTGGCTGTGCGCCGTGATTCGCTGTTTTGATTTGTCAATTCCCTCCCGGATTTTAGCATTTTCATTATTTTTATTATTTTGGACAACAAACAGCCTGCTTATTGTGTGAGGTTTTCCCTGTTTTGACGAAGAACCATTTTAAATACACCAATGTGGAAATCGTCACGGATGTGGACCCGGCGTTTCACTGCCTCTCAAGGGTGAAGGAGAGAGAGCTTGAAAGAATCAATGAAAAAAACGACTCTGGGCATGTGTATGAAGGCCAAATAGCACTTTAATGATGTTCAAACCAGAGAAAAGTCAAAAAGAGTAATATGGCACCTTTAAGGCTGACCTTCTTCTGAAAAGTTACAAATGTAGTACATGTAGAGGCCAGCGAGGACAGAAAACACTGCCATGGATGTCAATGGATGCAAAGTTTAACAGACTAATCCTCCATTAGAAAAGTTACCCAGTGTATATTTAAACCATTAGCAATAGCATAGTTCAACGAGAGCAAGCACACATTTTAATCTGATAATTTCTTTGTGTTTCGGAACCGGCTCATTCCCCAGCCGTCCTTGAGCAAAAGTATAACACTGCTCTTTGTATAATTTATGAAATCTCCCTTCACTAGTTTAATCCATGGCCATTAGCGGTTCCTTTAATGTATGTCGCATAAATACATCAGCAGCAGCAGCGAAAAAAAGAACATGCAATCCTATTTATAGTAGTTTTCCGCTGACCCAGAAACTCCACCCCTGGGTAGATCTGGCACCGCTCAGAGCGAAGGAACCACTGTTAGCGAAAGTGATGTCTGCGTGGGTTTAAATCTGTGATTTCATACCTCGGGGTTAAAAGTGACCCAAGAATTAAAGTGGCCACGGAGCACGTGAATACCCTTGCCGCCATCTTCCCTGAGGCCGTAGCCATGTGTGCAAAAGTACATTCAACACAGAGAAGCTATGTTAGCGGCTAACAAGGGCAGGCGTATTCTCACCGGAAACTTCCTGAGAGAGAATATCACAGATTTTTTAGTCACTATCTAATTTTGGTTGTTGATGAATACTGTTATTGTACACAAAACTATTTATATTTTCCTATCTATCTATATATCAAGTAGTAGGTATATCTACATATACCTACTACTTGTTTAATATTCTCAGGATAAAGTGGAACCGCATTCTGGGTTTATTTATTATCCTTATGGTAAAATGGGAAGGAAGCAATATTGGTTTGGTATAATACCTAATAATCCTATGGTGATTTTATTTAAATGTTTAAAAAAGGATGATAAAAAGCATTACAAGAAAAAACAAGCAAGGACAAAAGGGACAAAAACGCCGAAGAAAAAAACAAAACAAAGGATTCTTCCCATTCACACAAAAACTAAAAATGTCTAATAATGACAAAGCATCAAGAGGTTTATCCTAACTTTTTTGGTGCTTTTCTGAATCTGTTTTCTATGTGGATATTGTTTTGATACGGTTATACCAATTTCAATTAATTTTACATTCATTTACATACGGTAGTGTTTTACAATTTAAACAATTAGAATTCGAAAGGATGAAAATTTCATGACACACCACATTTGATTGGTTTTTCCGTGGACATTATATCCATAGATAAATATTCAGACTTTTGGGCGATGTAGGGCTTTACAAGAATACATTGAGTGTGGTTGGCCTGTTTTCTCTGTGTCCCTCCTACAGATGGACAATGTCAATTAGCCTTGGCTATAAACGTTGTATTGTTTCACATGTCGGTTGAGTACACTTGTCCCGATCAAACAAATAAATCCAGACTTCTCCGGTTTTCGCATGTTTACGAGAACGACCGAAACGCGCCGAGAATGGATTTAACGTCTTATTAGCGTCACATTAGCAGACACACCGTCGCCTCCCAGCCCCAAAGCGATTCTATTAGCATCACATGGAAACATCACCGTTCATTTCTACAGTCACTGGATGTCGGACGCCGCTGTAATCGCCGTGTGCGTCGGGAGCATTAGAATTTCACTCAGGTCTTTAGAGGCGGCTTAGATCCTCCAGAGCGTCCGTGTGTGCAGAGGTGCGCAGGAGGCTTTAGACAGTCAATTAGAAGCTTGTAGGTTGGAAAATCTCAATGGGACTGCGGGGGTTACGGAAGACGGGCTTTGATTTTCCACAAATAGCTGAATGTGTAATGATACGTGCCGTTCCAATTCGGCAAATGCAGATATTGATTCCTAATCGCTGAGGCTGTGTGTGTTTTAAGTGTGTACCAGTGCTGGTTCAGTCTGGAGCTGGGGTGGGCAATTGTTTTATTATTTGTATTATTTGTATTGTCGAGGGCCAGACTTACTATAAAGTGATTGTCTGGGGTTTGTCAGAAAAAAAGAGAGAGCGGTACATGATTTGAAAAAAACGACCTAAGCTCCCTCCCCCTTCCTCTCTGATTGGTCTACGCCTACGTCTCCGTAACAATCAATCAACACATTTAAATGTTAATCAGAGAACACATTATACATATACATTATTAACACACATGCACAGAGGTTTTCAGTATTATCTGTTCACGCTTTCATGACAAAAATAATGTTTTAATGCACAAAAAAGCGGTAAACCCAGAAGTAACCATTAATATTAATTGAACATTATAGGACACATTTGCAGAGGATCTGATTATGGATATAGTTCCATCCATCCATTTTCGTCCCCTTTTCTTCTCCGTGAAAACAAACAACTGATTATGAGCAGCTACGAGCATGAGCGCGATGATTGACAGCCCTTGGCATCACTTGATTGGTTAACGTGGACGGCAGCGTGGATTCTGAGCTATAGCTAAGAGAAGGGAAGGCGGGACTTACCAGTATCAATTTAATACAATTCTTAAAATTTGTAATTAATTTAGAGTTCCAGACTATGACTTTAACATGGTTCATTTTTCTCAATTTAATTCAGTTTTGGGTTCATTAAGAAGAACAAAACAAATGGATAACATGGCACGGTAGCACATATGAAGACAAGACTTGATTGAGTATTGACTCTTGATTAATTTAAGATTGCAACAGACTGGTATGAGGGTAATATGGATCACTTACAACACTTAAGAAGCAATTTTGGTGAAACCTAAACTTGTCTTTCTGAACCTATATATGTCAATCATGTATAAATAGTACTTTACTGAAACTCCTGAATGTCACTATATCTACTTATTACCCTGCCCTATATGTATATAGGGCAGGGTATGGTTTTGTTTGGACGTTTTTTTTGCCAATTTTTTTTCGACTGGACGCCCCCCAGGGTAAAACCCAGGACATGTTGGAGGGTCAGTGTCTCTCAGCTGGCCTGGAAAAACCTTGGAAACCCCAGATGAGCTGGAGAATTGTGTGTGGAGGGAGAATTCTGCTTGGACTGCTGCACCCATGACCCGGCAACGGATTAAGTGGAAGAAAAAGGATGGATGGGGTTCATGGCACAGTGGTAATTCTAATAATCTGGTTTTGTCCAAGTTTATTTCCAAATTTGCAGCTGTGAAAAAGAGACACTTAGATTCTTAGACCGTAAATTTAAAAAAATACAGTTTTCAACCGACTGCTTCGTGAATCAGCATAATTCGCGATGAAAAGCAACATTTATGGCAACTTTGAATTGTCACTACACTGTATTATTTAAAACATGGGAAAACCATTTGAAATTCTCTGCCGCTCGTCGTCATGCTAGCTTGAAGGTCGCCGCCGAAGCGCTCATCAAATATGCATGAACTAATGACTGCATCTGCGTAAACAAGAAATAAAAAGGAATTTTCAGGGGTTTTTTGCTTACTTTTTGCTTGGGCAGAAAATAGGTTACTTCGAGCTAAGAAACAATGACACAGCAGTAAAAACATGTAGACTAATTTATCACGTTGGTTAAGAGCGTCCCAGTTAGCTTCCAAGTCTTGGGCTAGCTGTTAGACTCTATATACGGCTGGCTGTGACGTGCCGGTTAAGTGGGCAAAGTAATTCGGGCGTTCTGCTCTCCCAAAATTTCATCCACTGAGCGGCGCTGTGATCAAAAAATGACACCGTTTGTTGCCCAGTTCACTTCCGGTTGATTTCATACAATGGCGAATATGGCTCACGAAAACAACAAACGATTGACAGTGCCTGAATTGCGTGAAAGGTTGAAGCGAAAGGGTATTTGCAGTGTGGGAAAACGAAAGGAGGAATTGTTGTTGCTAGTTCAACGAGCGGATGGTGTTTATGAAGATTTAGAAGAAGATGACAGCGAGCAGAGTGAACGAAAACGGCTGTGTGTGCGAGTGACAGATGGTAACAATGAGAATGAAGTTCAGCTAAGAGGGAAGAATGTGAATTGGACGGATGATTTGCGCGATATGCCACTAGTTAGAGACGGGAATGTATTTGCATACAGAAAATGACGAAAACGCTCAACCATTTAGAGAAAATGCGCCGGGCAGAGAGAACCGGAAGTTGCGAAGGCAAGTGTTACCCATAATGCAACGCAAAATTCAGTCGCTCCCCCGCCCATCGGATGGAATTTTGGGAGAGCAGAACGCCCGAATTAGCGCGCCATCCTCTCCAATTACACGCTCGCTGATTGCTTATGCACATGTTTCGCTGCATGGAGCCGTGTCTTTTAAACCCCAGCTCGCTCACAGATCGCATGTGTCGCCTAAAGACAGAAAGCAAAGTTTGTTCACGAAGGAATCCAGTATGTGTCCGGTTAATTTTCAGTTTCATGTATGTGTGTAAGCAGTGGCAGTGGTTTTTTAAATATTTTATTGGGTCTTTGTATGGCACATCTCAAAATTATCAAAGACAATTTCAAGTACTATAATAGGCACACTTTTTTTCTTTTCACCGATTGTGCCGTACAAGAAAAGTAAATAGTATAGAATAATAATAATTATAATCCAAATAATAAATGAATAATAAAGACCTGGGTTAGCTTTAATTCACAGATACAGACTTTTATCAAACAAATCTAAAGCCTGTGCCATACAGAGAAAAGAATAAGAACAAAAAATGAATAAATAAAGAAAAGAATAAAACAAAGTAAAAAAGTATTTTTTGGGTTATTTTTTTTTCATGTTTTAGGCCCTGTCCACACGAATTCAAGCTCAGGCCTAAACGCAAAAATACTTTATCAATCCAGTGTATCGTCCATACGAGGCCGGCGTTTTGGGGGGGTGTAAACGAACATTTTTGAAACTAGGTCCCAGAGTGGAAAGATTTCAAAACTCCGTATATGCCGCTCCGTGGTTACTGCCTCTCCGCAATGTATCTGAGACGCTTGCGTCATCGCCCCGCCTCTTGTTAAAGCACGCATGCGCCGCACTCAGAAAATAATGACAACAACAATGTAGCTTGTTGGTTTTGTAATCCAGTGTGACCCGAAGCAACAGTTCAACCTCATCGTCCGTTATTATATTA